CCGAGGCGTCCGAGAGCGCAGCTGCACGCAGCGGTGCGCCGTCGTGGTCGAGTCTCGTGGGGCGCGAGCTGCTGTCCGGGCTTTCGGACACAGAGCGCAAGCGGCAAGAGGCGATCTTTGAGCTGATCGCCACCGAAACGGCGCACGTGCGCGACGTTCAGATCATCGTCGAGGTCTTCTTCAACTCGATGCAGACCATGCTGTCGGCCAAGGCGAGCACCGTGATCTTTGCCAACATCGAGAGCGTGCTGGTGACGGCGGTGTCGTACCTGTCGGATCTCGAGGCGCGGCAGAAGGAGGACCGGCTGTTTGTCAGTGCGATCGGCGATGTGCTCGAGCGCCACATGCCGGCCATGAGCGTCTACCTGCCCTACTGCGTCAACCAGCAGAGCGCGAGCGAGATCCTTGCGGCCGAGCGGAAGCGCGATACACGCGTGGATATCCACCTGCTCAATCTGCGCTCGAACCATCCCGCTGCTCGTGGGCTGGATCTGAGCCACTTCCTGCTCGTGCCCATGCAGAGGCTCACGCGGTACCCGCTGCTGTTGGCACAGATTCTGCGGTATACTCCCGAGGACCATGTTGACCGTGCGCGTGTGGCGAGCGCCAAGCAAACAGCCGAGGACATCCTGGCCAAGACCAACGAGGCGATCCGAGAAAACGAAGACACGACGGCGCTGTCCAAGCTCTCGCAGAATCTGTGGTTGGGCGAAGAGGCGCGTCTGGATCTCACCAAGCCGTTTGTCGATCCGGCTCAGCCGGGCGTCAAGCGCCACCGACGGGTGCTGCGCGACGAGATGGTGGCCAAGGCCAAATCGGGCCGCAAGCTGCGGTTGGTGCTCACGACCGACTTGCTGCTGGTGCTGCATGCTCAGGACGCCAGCTTGTACCGCATGCCCATCCCCGTCAACGAGGTGAGCGCGCACGAGGCCAAGGCCAAAAGCAGCAGACATGCCGACGCCTTCAATGTGGTCCACTCCATGCCCGCGGTGGGAGGCGGCGCGCCTCAGGCAGACACGCTCAAGCTGCGCGCACCCGCTCAGCGCAACGCCGCAGCTTGGATCAAGGCCATCAATGCCGCCCGTGCGGACGCTCCCGCATCCAAAGCATAACCTGACTACCTAACTTATCGCAATTGCAATCAGAGTTCGTGTCGCAATTCTGAATGCAGTGTTTTGTCGGGCAGCGTGGAAAAGCGGGATTGCTACGAGGAGCTTGCGGCCGACATGCGGACCAGACTTCGAGGACGTCACCCGCTTCACATGCGAGCTCAACCGGCTCTACTTTCCGCGATGCCTCGAATGCAAAGCGCTCACTTGTCTCGCTCCTCACGCGTGCAACGAGTCCTGTGTCTCCTTCCTAGTAAATTCGACGACGTACACATTACTTCATTTCGTGTGCATGCCTGTGTATGTCGATGCCCTGCTCAATTGATCCGCCTTGAGGCGGATTAGCTCGGCTTCATTTCGGTCGTGCACTTCGCTAGCTGTCCAGCATGCAGCGATGCAGCGTGGAGCGCGCAGCAGCGGGAGTGCGGGAGATGCAGGGTCTCGCTTGAGTCCTCGCGAAAGACTGCGGAAGCCGAAGTACCGCATCACATTGTACAGATACATAGCCATCCCTTTCCGTTGAGTACCTTCCCTCGACATTACCACCCTCATCTTCAACTAGTCGCCGAGCAACTTGGCACATCGTCCCCTCTCCTCAAGTACAAAGGACAAGAATCGTTGATCTGCTTCGCCGTTTTCTCCGTAGGTTGCTGGAAATCCAGGACTTGACTTCGACGCTTGCTGTTGAAACCATTCGCTCCTCCTCATTTTGCTTCGATCTAGGCCATGAAGAAGCACTCGAGCTACGAATACACGTCGCACAGCGTCGTGCGGAAGAACAAGTCCGAGCACGAGAAAAAGGCTGAGGTCGAAGCGGCGTTCAAGCGTGTCAGCAAGGGACCTACTTTCGTAAACAGGGTCCGACTTCTCGCCGCCAGTCTCGACGCCATGGTCAAGAGTCTCGACGGCCTCGCCGACGAGCTTGAGGAGCACAACAGGCTGAGCGTCGCCAGGGTCAAGAAGCTGCGAGAGCCCATGCGCATCACCGAGGAGACCACCACTCGCGTGAGCACCACCAAGACGTCTGAGAAGTAGCGACTCGTGCATGGTCTCGATCGTCTCAACGGCTTTGCATGTTGACGGTTCTCAATCCGACCTCTGCACTCGCCCAATTGCTTATGCACTCGCTCTCGGAAGCGACCATGCAAAACGCATCTTTGGCGTCAAGCTCTACCCATTCTCATCATCTTTGTCTAGCACGCTGCAGAGATGGCAGCGTCGATCCACAGCGACAACAAGATGTCGACTGAGCTGCACGTCAAAGGCAGCGTCGCTGCATCACGACTCGAGTCGACTCCGACTAGTCCCGCACACGAAGCAATGGCATCAGATGAGCAAAGTCCGAGCTTTGACTTTGTTGTGTGAATCGAAGCAGTGCGGCAAAGGGATATCCCGCCCCTCGGCGCGTACTCCATGGCCCTGATCATCCTCCAGTCGCCATACCGCAACGAACTGTTCCGCATCGCTCGCCGCATCACTGACCCTCGCACAATATTCCGCGCATCTTGTTCCGCAGCACGTGCGAGCGATACGATCAAGACCGAGGCGTGAGTATCTCCTCTCTCGATCACAAAATCGCCGAAGACGACACCGACAACAGGAAAGAGAGCGAGGCGAAGGATAGCATCGACTCATACAGCACTGTCGCGAGCAGCCTCTTGAGCTTAGGTAGGCAGCAGCAAAGAAGGATGGATCATACGAATAGGCACATCAAGAACGACCTCAAGAAATGAGTCCCTGCGGGTAAGCGGGTGGGAAGGGGCTCTCTGAATCATCGAGCACCTTTGGCACGCCGACTTGCCGAACCCAAACGACAGCACGAGCCCCCGTGGGCAAACAGGTGGGAGGATGGTTGGAGCGCACACGTCTGTCTTGAATCCTCCTGCAAAAGGCAAGTGCGCGAGACCGCTCGGCGCGTACTTCACCACCCTAATCATCCTGCCGTCGCCACGCGGCACCAACATGTTCCACACCGCGAGATTGGCTTCCGCGACCTCGCTGGGCTCCGCACCTCGTTCCGCACATCGTTCCGCACAACGTTCCGCACAACGTTCCGCACAACTTTCGTCCAGTTCTCTCCGCATCGCGGCACGATCCAGAACAACTGCACAAGCATCGCTCACCTGTCTCACTCATTCCTTCCTCACTTCGTCCGTTCTCTGCCAACCCTTTTCGCCTCGTCCCCCTTTCCCTCTTCCTCCGCCGTAGTCATCGCTGACTTACCTTCTGCTTCTTGCCATGCGGCTGGTCAGCAACATCGCTTTGCGCAGGCTCATGCGAGCCGTGTCTCTGTCGTCCGAGCAGATCGACGAGCTCTTCAACGACCCCGCCAAGCTCCAGCAGTGCAGGCAAGCGTTTTTGGTGTCTCCGACTGGAAGGATGTTTGTACCTCGCAACTACCGTCGAGTGGCCGCAGACGAGTCGAGCACATCCGACCCCGCTGCTACAGACGAGGAGCTTCAAGACAAGTCCAACTCGGTGCAAGACGACGTCACCAAGAATGCCGCCTTGGTCTCGCTGTTCGATCGCATCGACTTTTCCGACCGCGCATGACGACGTCGTCGACTTCACGTCAGACTGAAGCCCCCCGCCAACTCGCCGTCGCCACCTTTGTCTCGCCCACAAGCACACACGAATCAGGCCAAGAAAGAAGATGGACGTGAAAACATGAAATCCCTTTGCAAAAAACCAAGCGTGCGAGACAGAGGATATAGTGGTAGTGTTACAAGGCGGGAGTGAGGAATTTTTAGGCTATCTAGGAGATGAAGTGCCAGACCTTGCCCATGACGGTGGTGGGCTTCTCCTCGGGCTCTTCGGCCTCGATGATCTCGCGCAGACCGGTGGTGAGGTCGACCTCGGAGGCGGGGATGTGAGCGCCGTTGTTGCGGTTGTAGTACCAGTTGCCGAGGTAGAGGATGATGAAGAAGGGGATGGGGATGTAGTTGGTGATGAAGTCCGAGGTGGACCAGTTGCCCTTGAGGAAGATCGACCATCCGCTGAAGAGCATCACGATGAAGGTCGAGCAGACCGTCCACCAGCCGCAGAAGGGCTGGAGGGCGGCCTTGTAGGGAAGCACGTCTCGCGACATGCCCTGCACCTTCATCGCCTTGTTGAAGCGCAGGTACATGATACCAATGCAGAACCAGGTGACCATACCGGCGATCGAAGTCATGTTGGCAAAGTAGCCGAAGACAGTGCTGGCACCGGACTGGACCGACATGTACGAGAGCGCAGAGAAGGCCACCGAGACGGCAACAGCGATGTAAGGAAGACCGCGCTTGGTGGTGCGGGCAAAGATGCGAGGAGCCGAACCGGCGATAGCGAGCGAGTAGAGGGCACGGCTCGAGGTGAACAGATCCGACGAAGCCGCGGAAACGGCCGAGGTAACAAGGGCGGCGTTTACAATTGAAGGCAATGCCTTGATGCCGGCGTTGTTGATCGCAACGACGAAAGGCGATCGCGAGGCAGTCTTGGCTCCCTTGGTGAGCTCGGGGGCGTTGGAGGCGCAGACGAGGCCGATCATGAAGGTGCCGAGGAAGTAGAAGAGGCAGATACGGATCCAAACCTTGCGGATGGCGCTGGGGACCGACTTGCGGGGGTTCTTGGCCTCAGCGGAGGCGATGGCGACGATCTCGGTACCGATGAAGCTGAATGCGGCGTTGACCAGAACGGAGAAGAAGCCGAGGAAGCGGCCGAGGGAGCCCTCGATCTTGTTGTACTGGACGAAGGGGCCGGGGTTCTTCCAGTAGCGGAAGCCGAGGCGGCCCTGCTTGCCGACGCCGAGGTCGATGCAGATGGAGAGGATGATGAGGCCGACGATGGTGATGATCTTGATCGAGGCGAACCAGAACTCGGCCTCACCGTAGGCGCGGGTGCCGAGCAGGTTGATGGCGACGACGACGACGAGGAAGACGGAAATCCAAATGGCGGGGTTGGCATCGGACCAGTACGACATGAGAACAGCGGCGGCGGAGAGCTCGGCAGGGAGAACGATGACCCAGTTGTACCAGTAGTTCCAACCCATGGCGAAAGAAAGAGGCTTGCCGACAAAACGCTCGCTGAGCTTGATGTGACCACCGGGAACGGGGAGGTAAGAGATCATCTCACCAAGGCACATCATCATGGCGTAACAAACGGAGCCCATGACGAGGTAGCCGAGCCAGAGACCGAGAGGACCGGCGTTGTGGAGTGACGAGGCGGTACCGAGGAAGAGACCTGTGCCGATGACACCACCGATGGAAATCATGGCCATGTGGCGGGGGAGGAGGGCGTGCTTGAGCTCCTCACCCTTGCGCTGGTCGAAGGCGTTGACGTCGTCGCGGCCGACGCCGTCCTCGAGAGTGGCGACGACGTCACCCTTGTAGGAGTCGGCCTTGACCTTCTCCTCCGAAGGAGAGTATGGAGAAGACATTTTGGAATAGAGTAGGCAGTTGTGGTGAGTCGGAGATTTGGATTGGGAGAAAGGATGGAGAAGAGGCCAGGAGGGGATGGTCTTTATAGCTTGCGAGTAGATTGCATTCGAAGGGGAGTGGGGCGGAGTCGAACGTAGGGGCAGTGTGCGCCCTGAAGGCAGCGTAGCAAGGGAGGGAGGAGAGAGATAGGCACAGCGTGACAGGTGGGGCTGGAAGCCGGTGCAGGCGCAGGCGCAGAGGACTCAGGCACGGGGAACGGGGAGCCAATGAGGGCGAGGCGAGCTTGCGAGAGCGTGGCGCAGGCCGATAGCGCGTGCAGGCGGACAGTCGACGTGGATGTGGGGTCACGCCGTGCTTATCGAGGCAGGCGAGGCAGGCGAGGCAGTCGAAGGAGGCAGTCGAAGCAGGGCAAATGCGAGGCGAGGGCCACGAGGGGCGAGATGAAGGGGTGGGATTGGGATGAGCTGATGGGATGCAACGCTGCGATTGGACGGAAACGACGGGGGTCCAGACTGGGTCTAGGGAGAGCACGATTTCCTATTGGACTGACCGTCTGGTGGGGATGTCGAGGAGCAGCGGTGGTGTCAGCGGGGAGCTGAGACAGGCGACCGCAGCGATGCCCGTCGGGCTGCAGCTAACCGAACCCACGAGGCTGACACGGCACGAGCGCAGCGTTCGGCACAGCAGTTTTCGCACATGGCTGAGTGCTGTATCGTAGCGTGGCGCTTGTCCAAATCTGCGCAACCGGAGCTGGACCGCAGGAGCACCGCTTCGACAGCGGCTCGTGCGGCGGCTCAACTGGGCACATTCGCTGTCTGTCTCGCCTTTTTTCCGCCGTCCCGCGGGCAAAAAGCAGCGCCACCTCAGTCCGGCACGCGTCAGTCGACCGAATTTGGCCCTTGGCCCTTGAAATTGGGAATTGGAATTGGAATTGCAAATGCAAATTGGCGTCGCGTCTCGATGCGCGAGAGACAGAGTGGCCAGGTGCCCGTCGAGGTCCAGAATGAGACCAACGCTCTGCAGCTGGATCGGAGTCTAGATCTCGACAAGAAGAATGGGCTCGCCTCGCTCCGCTCGCTCCAACTCTCCCAACGGAACGGCGTCAACGCCGGCTGCTCGTACGCTCACTTGTATGCGCCCACCCTGGTCGTCATCCTCGCCCACAGACCTGTGCGCCCCACCAGACAACGATCTGGGCATCATGAAGTGGCGGAAGGGGGAGCTCATTTTCGGTGGGCAAGCTTATTACGGCAACAACCACGGCAAGGTCCCGCAGCGATAGACGCTCGGTACGTTGCAGCATTCAGCTTTCAGTTGAGCCGGCCTAGATAGCCGGAGAACAATGCAGCTTTCGGTGCAGGTATCCGCATACGCCCGCTTGAGAAGCCTGCTCTGTAGGCAGGCGGGGACCACTTGCATCGAGCTCGAGCATGGCAGCATCCAATCGATGTCGCCTGATGTTGCGAGTCGGTGGGGGCGAGGTGGGCTGGTCCAATCATGTTGCGATGCTGCGCTGACGGTCCGGGGACGAGATGACATGCTCTGCTCCCATTGGATGCTCGGACTATGCCGCACTCAGCTTTCCACTCAGCACGCGTGCAGTAGACGCTTCCCATTGGTTCGAGTCGACACATGACGACGGCTCGCCGCTCACTGCATGAACAGCCGAGAGGCGCCAATACAGTATCTGATGAGCGAGCCCCAACATGTATGCAGGCTGAAGCCACGCGATTCTTCGCTTTGATCGTCGTCGGTCCAATCAGCACACGCGCAGATGCACAGCCGGCAGCACTACACCAGTGCTCCCGAGTCCACGACGCCCACGCATATCCCTATCGCACACTATCTCGGATGAGGGCGTGACACGGCCAAGGTCGTACAGAGTCGGCCCGGTTGGCAAGGGACGCGCGCTTGGAGTTTTCAGTCGTTACATCCGAAAAGAACGACCGAAAGGCCGACGGAGAGCAGCAGGATTACGACTAGCCTGGCACGCGCGGCAGGAGAGCGGTAAGAAGTCCAGCGCAGCCGGAGAATGAGCGGGGTCCTGTTAGCAAAGCCAGCGCACACTCTGGTTGGACCGTCGTCGCTGTCACGCGAGTGACCAGCAACAAGGCGAGCGGAGGACGAGCTCAAACCTGCGGCGGTGATTGACAAGTCCTCTCGCTCCGGCTCCGCCGGCGGTGGTTGAAAATCGAATTTCCCTTTCCCTTTTCGCCGCAAAGCGCCACCAAAAAGACGGCGGGTCCAGGCCAGCGCAAGCGAGTTGGCCCACGGGTGCGTGTCTGGCCCGGCCGTGGTTGCTCATGTGCCTCTCGCTAGTCGAACGCGTACCGGTGAATCGGCGAGCCTCGTCCTCGCTTCCGCCGAGCTCCATTGTCCAGCCTGTGCAACCACCTCTCGACTCGCGCGTCCGAAGTTCCACCGACCCTGAGACTGCACCTCTGCCGCAGCATCCTCGACATCACCACCCAAGACGTTATCTTGCCTATCAAAGGCTGCTACGCACCAGTGCATTCGCAAGCCGTCCTTATCTGCAGGAATGCCAGCTCGAGAACTCGATATCATGCGTTCGTCGAACTTGGTCACTCGCTTCTCGTCCGGTCACATGCTCAACGTAGACTGCGGTATCGCAAGCTCAAGACGGGTTTTGATAAGCAGTGTCCGCTTCTTGTGCCTGTGCAGACGCGTTCTTCGCGTGCGTCTCGGCTGACGCCAGGAGGTACTCGAGATTTGGGCTCCCCGTGCCTCTCGGCTCTGCGCCCACTTCTTCTCGACAACGGGCGGACATTGACATTGTCTCTTTCCGCAAGTGAGACTGTCAGCCCGGTAACCTGCACCCGGCCTCGTGAGTGTGGTCCGATGCCATGCAAAACGAGGGTCTGGGGCGTGCAAACGCAATGAGGCAAACACGGCACTACCTGCGAACTCAAAAGCTTCGGCGCAGTGTAACGTGACTTGCGTGCGGAAACATCCGCGCGGCGGCAATGCGCCAGACTCTGTTTGCGTCCGCCGCCGCCATCGAGCTTTGTTGAGAGTTTCTCCGCCGTCAACAGCAGGAAAGCTATTTGTCTCTGCCACCTCGCCTGTCATCGTGTTGTCGGAACCCCCGTCGGTTCAGCCGAATCGAAGGAGGGCCCTTCGGTATTTCCGCTGGACGACTGCTACCCCAGATCGCGTGGCGTTTTCTTGCATCTCCCCGCGTCGCGACCCGCTCCACACCGCTCTCCGCTAAAGCCATCACATCCTACGACCTGGCCGAAAGCACCTCAGTGACAGTACACGGCAATGCACGAGCTCCACAGCTGAGCGAGTAGCTTCAACAAATACAATGCTGAGCATGCGGGCGCTGTCTCGCCTGTGGCATCCCCTCGATCCATCGCGCTGCACCTACCAAAGCCACGTGCACGCGCACTGCCTCCGCACCGATCCAGATCGAGCGCGCTCCTCGTCAGGAACGAGCGACTTACTCCAGAAGATCCAGAGCTCGCCGGTGAGGTCGAGCGCAAGCTGCACTCGGCTGTGACTGACAGCAGTAGCGACGAGTGTGGTGCCCCACACTCTCGTCATCACCCGTGATCCAGACCCGCACGTGCATTTCCGCATCTTCACTCCCACCTCCCCAGCTTTTCTTCTTTGTTGGGCGGCTGCGATGGTCTTGTGAATCTTCTCGCTGCACGGTCCCATGCAACGTTGATTCCGTGGCACCGTTTACCCCGCTTTCGCGCAAAAGTGCATTCTCGACCGCCCGCTGGCTCAGCTCCGCTCCGCAATTCGATTTCTTCCAGCTGATCTTCATGGCAAGCTCAAGCCGGGCTACAGACTGA